AAATACTAGGCTGACATAAAACACAACAAAAAGCTGTTAGGAAAATATTATCAGGCAAAAATAGATTTATTTATTTTTTTATTAGAGAAGAGAGAGCAGGAGCAGAGGGAGATAGAGAATCTCAAGCAGGCTCCACACTCAGCATGGAGCCCAACTCGGGGCTCAGTCTCACAACCGCTGTATCATGACCTGAGCTGAAACCAGGAGTCCAACGCTTAACCAACTGACTAAGCCATCCAGGTGGCCCTCAGGCAAAAATAGATTTTTAAGGCAAAGCTTATTAAGGATAAAGAGAACCATTGCATAATGATGAAATAATTCACCAAGAGGAAGTAATAATCTTGAACCTGTATGTCCAGATAACATTATCTTAAAGTATACAAAGCAAAACTTTACATACTACAAATAAAGGACTACCTATAGATATAGTGAGGGATTTTCACACATTTCATTCAGAAGCTAATAAATCAGATCATCACTACCACCATCCCCAACAAAAGTAAACACATAAATTATGTGAACAACAGAGTTAAACGATCTTTTAGATGTGTTTAAACTTTAAAAAATAGAACGTAGATGTTCCCTTCAAGCGCACACAAAACATTTTTAGAAATTAACCACATATTAAACTACAAAGGGATGACATCAAAATTAGGCATATCACATTGGCAACAGTATGGTTCCTAGAAAACTTGCTTGGTTTTCCAAGTTTCATTTGAAAATGATGTTAATAGAATAGTATTTAAATGAAATAATAGCAAAAACATTTATTGAACGCTCACATGAGCCAGGCACACTGCTGTTTTGCATGTGTTATTCTATTTAAATCCCTTCAGTAGCCCTGTGAACTATAAGACTATTATCTTTAGTAGATGAGAGAAGTTAGGCTTAAAAATGTTAATTTGGGGCGCCTGGGTGGCTCAGTTGGTTAAGCGACTGCCTTCAGCTCAGGTCATGATCCCAGGGCCCTGGGATCGAGCCCTGCATTGGGCTCCCTGCTTGGCGGGAGGCCTGCTTCTCCCTCTCCCACTCACCCTGCTTGTGTTCCCTCTATCGCTGTCTCTCTCTCTCTCTCTCTGTCAAATAAATAAATAAAATCTTTAAAAAATAAATAAGAATGTTAATTTGCCCAAGGTCTGCTGTTTGAAAAACCTTTTTTTTTTTTAATATTCCACTGCTTTAAACCCCACCTTTTAAAAAACATCTTTGTTATTGTAAAATAATAGCCAGGTAGAGAAACTCATATAAAACAGACATAAGGTTATCGAATTATTATTAAGGCATTGAATTATTATTAAAGTTGGGTATTTTAATACCAGTAGGTCAAGGAATAGAACTTTGCTGGTCACTGCAATAACCTTTTATGTGCCCTGTTCCAATTATAATCCTTTTCCTTCACCAACAAAAAGCATTTTTATGATAATTTTTTGGCTTTTTCTTTATGATTTTAATAACAAAGTGTACATTCTTAAGCAGTATGCTTTAGATGTGCTTATTTCTTCCCCCCTGTTTTTCCCATGCAATTTATTTGTTGAGGAAACTGTTAAAAGTTTGACCATTTAGAGTTTCTTACAGGATTGATCAGATTCAGATTAGGTGTTTTGGCAAAACTTGGTGGGTGCTATTGTGTTCTTTCATCAGGAGATCTATTATGTCTGGTTGTTTCTCTTTTTCTGATATTAGGAACTAGATACTCAGTGGTTAAATCCATTAACTCTAGAGATTGCAAATTTTTATTATTTCTTCATTTATTAGTATTTGTTTCTCTAGAGAAACTTCCTCTCAGCCAATACTTGATTATCTGGTGTTCAGTTTATGTAAGAGAGGAAGAATAAATGTTTATTTCCTGTTATTTACCAGTTTTCAAAATGATGACTTGGTTTTCACTAGCATCTTTTAAAATAACCTTTTTTTTAAGATTTTTTATTTATTTGACAGAACAAGACAGCGAGAGAGGGAACACAAGCAGGGGAGTGGGAGAGGGAGAAGCAGGCTTCCTGCCCAGCAGAGAGCCCGATGTCGGGCTGGATCCCAGGACTCTGGGATCATGACCTGAGCTGAAGGCAGACGCTTAACGACTGAGCCACCCAGGTGCCCCAAAAATAACCTTTTTAAAAAAAAATTTTTTTTAAGTATCATTACTCATGGATTTAAATATATTTTTTTCAGTTCATTCATTCTTAATGGATGCTCAAATTGTCCCATCTTTGGCCACTAGAAGCCTCTTCAAGTTAGCTCCCTGCCATCATGAAGTTTACGTATTTTAGTAAATATATGTATTTATAAACATATTTATATAGCCTCAAAACATACATACACTAAACACATTGTTCTGTATATTTGGGGTTTTCATACTTACTACATATTTGCAATAGTTTATCAGTCTGTATAGAACTGCTTTATATTTTGTAGTGACCACATAATAGTCTTTTGTATAGCTGCATCATAGTTTAATAGTTATTGATGAATATTTTGATTGTTACCCTGCAGTATTATAAACAGTACTACAGCAGGTATCTTGGTACATAGTACTTTGCCCACATGTGTGAATATATAATTACAGAATCAATTCCCAGAAATGGAATTGCTAAGTAATAATAGCTATTGCCAAATTGCCGTCCTTAAAGCAATTAGGAACTTCCCCCCCACATATTATCCTTTGATGATACTAGCGTGTGATCGCACTTTTTGATCTTTGATAATCTGCTACATAAAAAATCTCATTGTAGTTTTTATTAGCATTTAAACTTAATTCTGAGTTGTCTGTTCGTATCCTTGGCCTGATTTTCTATTGAATTGTTCATCTTTTCCATACTGATTTGTAGGCATGCAGATATAATAAGGAAATTAGCCTTCTGTGACATGTACTGCAAATATATTTTCCTTACTGTGTTGCTCCTTTAATTATGTTTATAGTGTTCATTTTCTCAGCAGAAATTTAAAACTTTTTATATATTAATCAAATCTATTAGCTTTTTTTTAAACAATTCATACTTAGAGAAGAGTTAAAAGTACAATACAAGGAGGGTTTTTTCCCTCTGATTGCCCTTCAGAAGTTGCCAGTCTCTTGTCCTGCCACCTTCTAATACCTTAGTATTTCCTACAAAAAAAGATATTCTCCTAAATCACTGTACTACAGCTATTAAAAACAGAAAATTAACATCGACACATTACTACCTTCTAATCCTTTGACACCCCCTCCTTCAAGTTTCACTGATTGTCCTAATAGTAACCTTTTAGCAGAAGGATCCAGTTCAGAACCATATGTTACATTTAGTTGCTGTATCTTTTCTATGTCCTTCATCCTGGAACATTTCCTTAGACTTGCTTGACTTTCATGACTTTGACAATTTTGAAGATTATTAAAACAAATTAGAACAAATTTGCATTTGTCTGAAGTTTCTTCAGATTAGATTTAGGTTATGTATCTTTATCATAGAAGTGATGCTGGCTTCCATTACGCTGTTTAATTATTTGATGAATGATGAATCCCTCTACTATATGCAACCCGTCTTCCAGTTCCACCATCCCTTCTTCTGTGTGTTGTCCTTCTCTTCCTACTCTTGCTCTGACTCTCCATTTTAGGCCACCCTCCCACCCACCCCCCAAACTTCCTTCTTACCCTTCTTGAGCTCCAGCACTTTATGCCACAGTTTGAGTCTATGCACTGTCTGCATAGATACCCTTTTCATCCTACTTGATGATACCCTTCACTGAGCTGTACTTCTCCATGGACACCCTCCTCACCCTGCTTTGATTCTGACACCTCTTGCAAGACTACAGACTGTAACCATTGTGGTAGTAAGTCTTCCATTCCCTTCATCAAGTGGACATGCTCCTCACCTTTTTTTAAATGCCTTCCAAAATTGGTTATAGCTATTTTCCACTTTAACATAAAAAAACAATTTTCATTTTCTTTTAGTGATTTGATTTTTTTGTATTTAAATATATGTTCTGGGGCACCTGGGTGGCTCAGTCAGTTGAGTGACTGATCTTTTTATTTCAGTGGCTGACTTGATTTCAGCTCAGGTCATGATCTTGGCGTCCTAGGATCCAGCCTTGGGTCAGGCTCCATGCTCAGCAGGGAGAGTCTGCTTCAGGATTCTCTCTCTCCCTCTGCCCCTCCCCCTGCTCACTCAGTCTCTCTCAAATAAATAAATCTTTTAAAATATATATATATATGTGTATATATATATATATGTATATATATATATATGTTCTACTTTGGAATTTATTGTGAAGTAAGAAATGAAGTCCAACATTTCTTTCAGATGTTTATCCAGTTTGCTGGAATTTTATTTATTTGACAGCACAAGCAGGGGAAGAAGGAGAGGGAGAAGCAGGCTCACCACTGAGTAGGGAGCCCGATAGACAGCCGAGGGTCTCGATTCCAGGACCCTGGGATCATGACCTGGGCCGAAGGCAGCCACTTACCAACTGAGCCACGGGCGCCCCCCAGTTGGCTGGAATTTTATATAAAAGTTGTATCTAGGGACACCTGGGTGGTTCAGTTGGTTAAGCATCTGCCTTCAGCTCAGGTCATGATCCCAGGGTCCTGGGATAGAGCCCCACATCAGGCTCCCTGCTCAGCGGGGAGCCTACCACTCCCCCTGCTCGTTCTCTCCTTCTGTCTCTCCCTCTCTCTCAAAGAAAAAAAAAAGTTATCTACCTCCTCTCCCCCTAAAAAATGTATGAAGTTCTTGGGGCGCTTGGGTGGCTCAGGCGTTAAGCGTCTGCCTTCAGCTCAGGTCATGATCCCAGGGTTCTGGGATCGAGCCCCACATCGGGCTCCCTGCTTGGCGGGAAACCTGCTTCTCCCCCTGCTTCTCCCCCTGCTTGTGTTCCCTCTCTCGCTGTGTCTCTCTCTGTCCTATAAATAAATAAATAAATAATCTTAAAAAAAAAAAAAATGTATGAAGTTCTTAAAAGTATATTGTTTCCAAGAGCTTTAAAAAAAAAAAATGGGTTTTTTTTTTTCATGTTGCTTTTGTTTATAACAGATGATGATGTACCTGCAGATATGGTTGCTGAAGAATCAGGTCCTGGTGCACAAAATAGTCCATACCAACTTCGTAGAAAAACTCTTTTGCCAAAAAGAACAGCGTGTCCTACAAAGAGCAGTATGGAGGTAAATTAAAAGTAACTGCTTCTCTTTTTGTAGTGAAAGAATTGTTAGAAACAGGGAAATATCACCATTTTTTTGAAGTAATGATTATATATGGTAAAAATATTTGCTTAATTAGTTTTCATTTTGTTTTTGAAGGGTGCCTCAACTTCAACTACAGAAAACTTTGGTCATCGTGCAAAACGCGCAAGAGTATCTGGAAAATCACAAGATCTGTCAGGTATTTCCTTTGAGAAAACTCTAAGAGATAGGGTTAAATCTTTTTAATTTTCTTTGATACCAAAAAATTAAAAATTAAATACAGTTTAATGGTGCATTTGGGATTGAGAAGGTGATATTATAGAATAAGCATGAGAACCCTGACCTCTCACTCTTTTGACTTTAATTGTTGTATAAAAATACATTTTATGTATTTAACCAGTTTCTGAAATGGTACATAACAGCTAAAAGAAAGAATACTTAAGTCAGGACAAAAGAAGGTAAATGTGTGTGTCATCTATCAAAGCAAAATGCTTATAAAATGATTGTTAACAAAACTATTCATTAGATAAAATGAAAATTATGCTCTTTAAATAGTGAGAAACTTCTTGCTAGCACAGTAAATAGATTGTTTATATTCTGTTTGCTAATCTCTTTACAGCAGCACCTGCTGAACAGTATCTTCAGGAGAAACTACCAGATGAAGTGGTTCTAAAAATCTTCTCTTACTTGCTGGAACAGGATCTTTGTAGAGCAGCTTGTGTGTGTAAACGCTTCAGTGAGCTCGCTAATGATCCAATTTTATGGTAAGTGAAAATTTATTTATTATCTTGAAATATATTATTTGCCACCCCAAATGCTAAAAAGATGGTAGGGAAGTTGAAGTGCGAGTTGATAGTTAAAATTAAATAGTTGGAACAATCCAAGTTACCTATTTATCAAAAACGTAGGTTGTTGGTCCGAGTGGTGTTTATGAAATAATAAATGAAGTACTTTCTCTGCTACTTACCAGTTAATAGCAACTGAGTGATTATGGGAAATGTTTTTCATTTAAATTTAAGCTTTTTAGAAGCAGAACTATGTCTAATTTAAACAGGTAATTCAGTCGGATAGTTTAATGTGAAAGTAGATTTTGATACATCACTTTTGGAAAAAAGTTTGACAGTTGTATTCATGAACCTTAAAATATGCATGCCCTTTGACCCACGTAATTCCACTTCTGGAAATTTTTTTGCCTTATGTACAGATTTTTCATAATAGCACAGTTAACTGTGGGGGGAAATTAGAAATAATCTAAATGTCCAGCAATAAGGGAGTGTACTAACAATGTAATGTCTACTTGAAGGATGGTGATAAAGGCATTTAACAGTTATTTTTACAGAGTTGTTAACAACATGGGAAAATGCTGTGTTCTAGAAAAGTTTTTGAAAAGAGCAGAATGCAAAATATTAGGTGCTATATAATCACAACTGTAATAAATGAAACTATCTGTATATAAAAACTGGAAGGAAACACTGCTTTGTACAGGAAGTGATAATAGTTACTATGACTACATTTCTGAGGTTTGATGGTTTTTGGTAATAGGATGTAAATGAACTGAAGATATATGAAGAGTTAAGTTCAGAGTATTTTATTGAAAGCCATCCTTTTAATAATAACTGTATGAGGCTTTTACAGTAAGGGTGGCCTTTTTTCCCCCTAAACAAATTTTGAAGAATTGACACTCTTTATTTTGGGAGGTGGACTATTTTTTATACATAGTTACATTGTTTTTAGCCAAAAATGTTTTTGAAGGATCAGGTAATTTTTTTAGTTGTTTAAAGGACTTTTTATGAAGAAATTTTTCATTCCTTTCCTGCTACAGGAAACGATTATACATGGAAGTTTTTGAATATACTCGCCCTATGATGCATCCTGAACCTGGCAAATTCTACCAGATTAATCCAGAAGAATATGAACACCCAAATCCTTGGAAAGAGAGTTTCCAGCAGTTGGTATGAAGTATAAATGGAAAATATTGATTTATATTCATAAATAAAAGTTTCTTTTTAAAGAGTTAATTCAAACTCAGGAATAGGTGTCAAGCCAATGAATATATTTATCACTCAACAAAATGTTCAGTTCTTTTCACTACTGACATATTTATTAATAATTTAAACAGTGGCAGTAATACTTTTTATGGGTCTCTTTGAACCTTTTCTTAAATTATTAGTGTTCAGTAGTTTTAATTTTTATATGGTCCTTTATGAGTGGTTCTCAGCTGGGGGTGATTTTGCTCCACAGGGGACATTTGGCAATGTCTGGAGACATTTTTGGTTGTCACAGCTGGAGAAGAGGATTCTACTGGTATCTAGTGGGTAGAGGCCAGGGATGCTGCTAGACATCTTAACAATGATGCACAGGACAGCCCCCACAACAAAGAATTACTGTCCCAAAATATCAGTAGTGCTGAGATTAACAAATTTTGTCCTTTCTTACTGGATATTAGTGAGTCATAAGCTGTTTCAGATTTTACATTGCCCTATGCAACAGAAAATTAGTTGGAATAATTGATCATTGTTTTTGATATTTAATAAAAAATATACAGTATTTAGAATATGTTTACATTAGTAGTCAATGTTTGTTTCTGGTTTTTTTTTTGTTTTGTTTTTTGTTGTTTTGTTTTTTGACATTTTAGTATAAAGGTGCACATGTAAAGCCAGGATTTGCTGAACATTTCTACAGTAATCCTGCAAGATATAAAGGAAGAGAAAATATGTTGGTATGTTTGATTTGTATTTTTATAAGACTTAAAATGGTAATCTTTCAGTTCTGTACTGACACTTTTATTTTTTTCTAGTATTATGATACAATTGAAGATGCCCTTGGTGGGGTACAAGAAGCTCATTTTGATGGACTTATTTTTGTTCATTCTGGAATATACACTGATGAGTGGATATATATTGAATCTCCAATCACCATGATTGGTGCAGGTATTCTGAAATGCATTGTCATTAAAATTTTAATGTATTATTTACATGATGGGTTTCTTAAATGCTAGTGACTTAAAATCCAGGTGAACCTTGATAATGGCTTAATGGTTAAGAAAGAACAGGAATATTGCCTATTGCAATGAAAACATGAGAGTTCAGAAATTACAGATGTATTTTTTTTTTTGAGAGAGAATGAGAGGTGGTAGGGGGGCAGAGGGAGAGAGAGAGAATCTGAAGTAGGGGCTCGCTCTCACAACCCTGAGATCATGACCTGAGCCAAAATCAGGAGGACGCCTGACTGAGGCACCCAGACGCCCCAATTTCTTTTTCTTTTCTTTTTTTTTTTTTTAGATGTGTATCTTGATGTCTGTATTTTGTCCAACGCCTTAGTTATTCATTAAGGAAAGAAAGATACTTATTTTATCTTTTATTTGAAAATAAAGATGGTAAATGTTTCTATTGCTGTGTTTTTAATGAAACAGATGTCCTTGGTAAAATTTTTTGTACTATTTAAAAGCTAATCAGTCATTTCAAGATTTGTGCTGTCTGATTTTTTAAGGACACAGTACATGGACTATTTTAAGATAGCTAGGAATTATTACTTGTTATTGAAATTTGCATTTACTGCCCCTTCTGCTTCCCTCCGGAGCCATTTCCACCACAGAGAAAAGGAGAGGAGGGTATAGAAAATTTTGCCTAGTGATTTGCAGTACCTTCCAGATCAAGGCCAGTATTAGAAATAATTTTCAATTAGGACATTTCTCTCTCTGTCTCTACCTACTCATCATCCCCTTCTCCTTTCCTCTCTCTGAGCTCTTCTGTTGCTGCTGGAAGTGATTTTGTTTCCATAGAAACCATTTTTTGGGGCACCTGGGTGGCTCAGTCATTTAGCGTCTGCCTTCGGCTCAGGTCATGATCTCAGGGTCCTGGGATTGAGCCCCGCATCGGGTTCCCTGCTCCGCGGGAAGCCTGCTTCTCCCTCTCCCACTCCCCCTGCTTGTGTTCCCTCTCTCGCTGTCTCTCTGTCAAATAAATAAAATCTTTAAAAAAAAAATTTTTTTAAATATGTCATTGTATTTGATACTAAATAAGTAGCTAAATATTATTAGAAGTATTGTTATACATGAATTTGAGTGTAATGGGTACTCAAAGAATATCCACTTTAAATATGACTGCCTGGGGGCAGCTGGGTGGCTCAGTCGTTAAGCATCTGCCTTTGGCTCAGGTCATGATCCCAGAGTCTCGGGATCGAGCTCCGCCTCCTGCCTCGGGCTCTCTGCTCAGCGGGAAACCTGCTTCTCCCTCTCCCACTCACCCTGCTTGTGTTCCCTCTCTCGCTGTCTCTCTGTCAAATAAATAAAATCTTAAATAAATAAGTAAGTAAGACTGCCTGTAGTAAAGGCCAGTGAAACATAGTTACCTCATAAAATGAACATTATTCTTACCTATTCAATACTAATGTTTTTTAAAATCTCCCTCTGCATATTATGCTAAGTGAAATAAGTCAGAGAAAGACAAATACCAAGTGATTTCACTTATTTGTGGAATCTAAAAACAAAACAAAACAAACAACGAAAAAAAACAGACTCATAAATATTGAGACCATATAGGTGGTTTACAGGAGGGAGGTGAGTGGGCAGAAAGGCAAAAAAGGTGAAAGGGATTAAGAAGTGCAAACTTCCAGTCATAAGATAAATGTCACAGGATGAAAAGTATAGCATGGGGAATATAATCAGTAATTTTATAATAATGGGGTACCCTGGTGCTTCAGTCATTTGGGTGTCTGACTCTTGATTTTGGCTCAGGTCATGATCCTCATGGTTGTTGGGCTCTGCGCTCAGCGGGGGAGTCTGCTTGAGGATTCTCTCCTGTCTCTGCCCCCTCCCTGCTTGCTCGTTCTCTCTCTCTCTCTTTCTCTCTCAAGTAAATCTTTTTTAAAAAATAATATAATAACTTTGTATGGTGACAGAGACTTACCATAGTGAGCATTTTGTAATGTATATAATTGTCAAGTTACTATGTTGTATACCTGAGGCTAATATGTCAACTATACTTCAATTAAAATTTTTCTTGAAAAATGAAAAAAAAAATCCCTCTCAAAAATGTACCCAATCTAAAAACAATAAAAAGGTTTCTGTATTATTAGTTTTATGGTAGGGTATTTTTACTGATAAAAAATTGAATCTAAGGAGCGCCTGGGTGGTTCAGTAGGTTGAGGGTCTGCCTTCAGCTTAGGTCATGATCCCAGGATCCTGGGATCAAGCCCTGTGTCGGGCTCCTTGCTCAGTGGGGAGCCTGTTTCTCCTTCTGCCATTCCCCCTGCTCATTCTCTCTCAAATAAATAAATAAATAAATAAAATCTTTTTTAAAAAATTGAATTTTATTTGAATTACATCTGATAATTAATGTGTTTTTTAAAAAATAAAGGTAATGTGTTTTAAAATATCTTCTCCACAGCACCTGGAAAAGTAGCAGACAAAGTTATAATTGAAAACACTAGAGATTCAACCTTCGTCTTTATGGAAGGTTCTGAGGATGCTTATGTTGGATATATGACAATAAGGGTAAAGAATTTTAAGATTTAGAATATGTATGTTCAGATCATTTAAGGCAGTGGTTCAGACAAAATTTCAAACAAAATATCTACTTTTCAGTTTAACCCTGATGACAAATCTGCTCAACACCATAATGCACACCACTGCTTAGAGATTACGGTAAACTGTAGCCCTATTATTGATCACTGTATCATCCGAAGTACATGTACAGGTTAGTGTTTCCCTTATGTTTTATCATAAAATGAGTCATTGTGTTGTTGCTCAATAGGTTTTTAAATAAATATTTTTCTTCCAGTTGGCTCTGCAGTATGTGTTAGTGGTCAAGGAGCATGTCCCACTATCAAGCACTGTAACATCAGTGACTGTGAAAATGTTGGACTTTATATAACAGATCATGCACAGGTATTTTTAACTTTTATAAAAGGGTTTTTTCTTTCTAAAAATTTTTTTTAAGTTTTGCTAATACCTACTTCTGATTAATTGTTGTAGGGAATATATGAGGATAATGAAATTTCCAATAATGCTTTAGCTGGGATTTGGGTTAAAAATCATGGAAACCCAATTATTAGACGGAATCATATCCATCATGGACGTGATGTTGGTGTGTTCACATTTGATCATGGCATGGTAAGAACATTTATTCTTAATAGAAAAACTGACTTCGTATCAGTTAAATTTCTTTTTTTTTTTTTTTTAAGATATTTATTTTTAATCTCTGAATACCCACTGTGGGGCTCGAACTCACAATCTGGAGATCAAGAGTCACATGTTCCACCAACTGAGCCGGTCAGGTGCTCCATATCTATTAAATTTCAAATAGGTTTCTGCATTTTCTCTTCACCAAACTAGGTGAATTGAAGAGTATAGGTTTAAAAGAAATTTCAGCATCATATTTTAAAATTAATATGCAATATTCTATAAATTCATGAATCTAATATTATGTGCATATAGAGAAGATGGAGTCCTTAGGGAATTGATGTAATCTTTGATGGGAGTAAGATCTAATCCAGTAGTTCTCAAATGTCCGTGTGCAGAAAAGTCACCCAGATAGGGGTGCCTGGGTGGCTCAGTCAGTTAAGTGTCTGCCTTCATCTCAGGTCATGAGCCCGGGGTTCTGGGATCGAGCCCCATGTCAGGCTCTCTGCTCAGCAGGGAGCCTGCTTCTCCCTCTCCCTATGCCTGCCACTCCCCCTGCTTGTGCTCTTTCTCTTTCTCTGTCAAATAAATAAATCTTTGGGGGGGGGGTCACCCAGATAGAATAAATATAATATAATGTAATATAATGGGGACCCAGGGTATGCATCTTTAATAAGCACCATTAAGTGAGTTGAATGCAGGTTGTTTGTAGGCTACACTTTGAGAATTAATGGTGTCATTATTAGTTTGACTTCCATTTTATTCCTCTTAAAATTTTTTTAATTGGCAGAATTTTAATAAGAGATACAATGGTAATAAAATCAGTTCTAAAACTTACACAGCAGTTAATTAGGCATCTTTATGGATGATATTGTATTTTAAGTGCTATTGTGTCATTTTACACAATTTCTAGAGACACAACTTTTTGAGCTCTTTTAGGCCGCTATTTCAAAATAATGCTCTTTGGTGTCTATTCAGGTATTCTTTTCATTTAATGTCTGATTTTCATTGAGACAATTTTCAAGTCCTATTACAACATTGGCAGCATTTTTGTTAAAGAGTCAGAGATGGGAGAGGAGATGATGGCATGGTGGCCAAACGGTATTTTGGTGAAGGTCTATTGCTGTTGTATGAATCAGGCAACAGAGGATTGTTGGATTCACATATACAAATTGTCAATTAGTGAAGAAAAGGATATTCCCATTAAGGATTAATAAAGAGATTTGTAAGGAAAGGATGAAAATTAAAACCTAACATCTTGGGCCTATCATCTGTTTTAGTATTGTGACACAATCCTTTAAAATCCCTTGGTAGAATGTTCTTCCATTTTAGTTATTCTTTTTTTTTTTTTTTTTTAAAGATTTTATTTATTTGAGAGAGAGAGAATGAGAGACAGAGAGCATGAGAGGGAGGAGGGTCAGAGGGAGAAGCAGACTCCCTGCCGAGCAGGGAGCCCGATGCGGGACTCGATCCCGGGACTCCAGGATCATGACCTGAGCCGAAGGCAGTCGCTTAACCAACTGAGCCACCCAGGCGCCCCCATTTTAGTTATTCTTTTGGCTTGGCTTGGCATCTTTGTGTTGACAGCCCATGATTGGTAGGATAACATCACTGAAGATAATCTTTTTAAAATTGTACTTTGTTTTCTGTAGAACTTCAAAGAACATCAGAATAAACATTTAAAACTAGTTTCTGTACTATCCACTCTCTTTAAATATGCACATACTTATTCTCTGAATTTTTGTTCCTTTTTCTCTCCTGTTGACATACTTTAAATTTCTATATTCATAAGAATGAATCATAAAAGATTTTCTACTCTTTTTTATTTTTAAAGAATTGTTTATGTAAAAATACTACATGTGCAAGTATAAATTATAGGACACCTCTAGGATTTCAGGGTATGACTCTAGCATTTGTCATTGTTAGCTTCATGTTTAATCTTTGAAGTATGAACTTTCCCTGTGAAAAATGAGGAAATAAGCACTTTATATTTCAACCCATCTCCATCCCATCGTTTATATTCTTTTCTTAAGTAAACGTTTATAACTTTTACATTCCTATAGTTATTGGTCAGTATTTATTCTATATTTGTTTACTTTTAGTCCTTTTATAACAGTTTCTCTGTTGCTGAATTTTTTTTAATTTTGATTCATTCCTTGTATGGCTGAATTTTCTCATCTAGCTATTCATTATTTGCTTATTTTTAAAAGAATGGTTTACAGGTACTGTAGCTTGAATTCTTGCCACTTGAGAATGCCTATCCATTACTTATTAACTTGGCTAAGTATACACAATTTTGATTATACTTTTTTCCCTCCGAATTTTGTAGTCATTTTTATATTTCTAGCATTAAATGTGGCTCATAAGTCTGAGATCATTTTGGTTTTTGTCTGAGATTATTCTGGGGTTTTTTTCTTGTGATGATTTGCTTTTCTACTTCAGTATCCATAATGTAGGTTTTTGTCGTTGTTGACGTGTTGTTTTGCTGGTTTTCTCTAACATGTGTTCTTTAGAAGCTTGGCTGTGTACTACTTTGTTCTTTAAGTTTTATGTGATTTCCTCAAATCTTTGCCCCTTACTGTGTCTCCGTAGGTTTTTTTTTTCCCCCCAGTATGGTTTTTATCTCTAATTTTTAATGTATTTTGTTTTATGGAATTTTTCTAACCTACGTAAAAAAGAGAATAGTATAATGAATGAATGCCCATTTACTCATTCTCCATCTTCAGCAGCTATCAGTTCATGGCCAGTTTTGTTTCATCTATACTTACTCTTTCTTCTCTACTCTCTAGATTATTTTGAAGCAAATCCTGGACATCATCATCTCATCCGTAAATATTTCAGTATGCATCTTTAAAAGATAGGGTTCTTTCTTTTTTCTTTCTTTCACATAACCAGTGCCAGTCTCATTCCCTTTTTTTTTTTTAATTTTTTTTTATTCTTATGCTAATCCCCATACATTACATCATTAGTTCTAGATGAAGTGTTCCATGATTCATTGTTCGTGCACAACACCCAGTGC